AATATATCCAGCAAATGATGCCAGCAACAGAAAAGGGGAACACAGAAATAGAAGTTTAAAGAGGAAGATTCTGAGTTTAGCCTTGGTTATGCTAGGTGGAAAGTGCCAGCAGGCCCTCCAGGAGGTGAGGGAAGGGCATCTTCCAAGAACAGCACTCACATAGCAGATGGCGGCCAGCTCCTGGCGTGTGTGGGCCTTTTCCACCAGACCCTGGGCCCTGACTGGGCTGACACCGTGGTCATAAACTGTAAACTTGGTCCCCATGAGGTTAGATCTAGAATCAGGAGAAAAAGTCACCATGATGATCTATACCTGAGTCTCTTCTTAGGAGAGGTAAGGAATAGAATGGAAGCCTATTTGCCTATTTTCCAAACGAATAAATATTCATCATCACTTTTTCAAAGATCTCTCATTAAATCAAGGAAGAGATTTAGATTTTCTTTCAACTTTTTGTTAAAAGGTACAATATCAATACATGCTAATTATAAAAATGATGTAGATTATTCTAAAACTATGGGAATAAATCTATCAGAAATAGGATAGTGATGTAAGGCTGTTCTTACCTGAGTTTACCAATGTAACTTTCACCTTCGCGAGATAAGTCTGTTGGGTCAGTGGAGATAAGGTAGTTGGATGTTTTGCTCTTTTTCCGCTTTCTACCTGCAAGAAGAAATATCTGGAAAAAGGAAAGTGTCAGTTAAAAATGAATGTAAGAGAATCCCCCTCATTGTCCTATGTATTCATCAGCAAATGTTTAGTAAGTGCCTACCATGTATCAAGTAATCAATCTTTGGGTCTTGATCCCTTTTTCTAACCTCTCAATGCTTCCCAGCATTCAATGAGAGTTTCCTTCCTGGACAATTTGTCTAAATTCACTAGCTTGATTCTCCATATAATTACTTACAACTTCATCCCTAAAACTTCTAGTTAAATAATTTTCATCCAACGCCAGGAGTCTTTCCAACTCTAGGAGATAGGATCCTGAATACCTTCCCATTCTTTACTGCGATGGCTTTCTTAATAAACATTTTGTATTTTGTTGTTGTTCTTTTAAGCCCCTGATATCATCATATTTATGAATCTGCCCTGAACTCTACTGGCCTTGGACATAATAGGAAAGAGTGGCAGTGGCTAAGCAAGGGACCTTTTTTTTTCTTGAGATAGATTATGCTGTGTTGAATAGCTACCTATTCACTATGTTGCTCTCAGTAGAGTGCCGTGGTGTCACAGCTCTCAGTAACCTCAAACTCTTAGGCTCAAGCAATTCTCTTGCCTCAGCTTGAGTAGCTGGGATTACAGGGGTCTGCCACAATGCCCCGCTATTTCTTTTATGACAAGGTCTCACTTTTGCTCAGGCTGGTCTCTAACTCATGAGCTCAAGCAATCTACCCACCTTGGCCTCCCAGAGTGCTAGGATTACAGGCATGAGCCACTGCACCCAGCCACAAACGGACTTTTGAATCAAACAGAAATGGGTGTGAATTTGGCTCTACCACTTATTGCTTTATTAACAATTATTAAATTGTCTCAACCTTACAAAGTAAATTAGAATTTCTACAGTAAAAAACAAGACATTTAATTTGCAAGTCCTTCTATATTTCCAATTCCTCACGTTCCCTAAAACTAACTCTCTCTCTTCCACAATGTAATGTTCTATCATAATAAAAAGAAAAACCAGGCATGGTGCCTATAGCTCAGCGGCTAGGGCACCACATACACTGGAGCTGGCAGGTTCAAATCCAGCCAGGGACTGCCAAACAATGACAACTACAACCAAAAAAAAAAATAGCTGGGTATTGTGGCGGATGCCTGTAGTCCCAGCTACTTGGGAGGCTGAGGCAAGAGAATCACTTAAGCCCAAGAGTGGAAGGTTGCTGTGAGCTGTGATGCCACAGTACTCTACCAAGGACAACATAGTCACATGCTGTCTCAAAAAAAAAAAAAAAAGAAAGAAAGAAACAAATGAAAAACCAGGTTTGGTGTGGTGGCTCATGCCTGTAATCCCAGCAATTTGGGAGGCCCAGGCAAGAAGATCACTGGGAATTAAACCTAGGAGTTCAAGACCAGCCTGAGCAACATGGTGAGACCGCATAGTAGTGTACACTTGTAGTCCTAGATAATGGGAAGGCTGAGACCACAGGATCACTGTAGCCCAGGAATATGAGGTAGTATCATGCTACTTCACTCTAACTGGGAAAACAAAGACCCTGACTCTAAAAAAAAATAATAATAAAAGAAAAGAAAAACCAAAGGACATACAGTAATACTCCCAAAATAAATAATGATAGGAATGTAAAAATAATCACATTAAAAAATTCTATTTTCTGGCTCAGCACCTGTGGCTCAAGTGGCTAAGGCCCCAGCCACATACACCTAAGGTGGCGGGTTCGAATCCAGCCCAGACCCGCCAAACAACAATGATGGCTGCAACCAAAAAATAGCCGGGCGTTGTGGCGGGCGCCTGTGGTCCCAGCTACTTGGGAGGCTGAGGCAGGAGACTCATTTGAGCCCAGGAGTTGGAGGTTGCTGTGAGCTATGAAGCCACAGCACTCTACCCAAGGGGATAGCTTGAAGCTCTGTCTCAAAAAAAAAAAAAAAATTCTATTTTCTTACATTATAGATAAAATTCCTTTTCTCAGGAGGGTGGGAAGAGGTAGACTATGTTCATTATGTTCATCAGACTATGAGCTCTTGAAGATAACAAGAACACAGCATCTGGGAATTAATAAATGCAATCTACTTCCAGGTAACTTGGTCTGGTATCAGTATTAGTTCCCCATTATAAGACCTATGAATAATCTATTCCCACAACATTCCTCTCTCTCTCCAGAGTTGACTCATGAATCAATTCTCCTACCTTCCGATTTTCATCTTTTTCCAAATGCATATAGTAGGTCGGGAAGAGACCCCGATCCATTCCTTTTTTATCCCTGGTTATCCGACACTTTACTGTGACACCTCGAGGAGCAGGACTATATGCGAAGTCTGCTAGATTCCCCACTTCACCCAGCTGGTGGTCAGCCTGTTGGGCTGCAGTGCTGGAAGCTCCTGTTTCCTGAAAGGACATTTCATAAGCAGTAAGAGGCTCCGGTCAGAAAACCTCATGAATTCCCTATGAGAAAAACTTAAAAGACAAAAAAATATTGATTTGTCCATTTTCTCATAAAATAAAGGGAAACTCTGAAAAGTTAAATAGGAATATTAAGAATAATGAAGGAGCTACGTATGAAAAGGGGACATAGCTTCCCAATAGCTGGCCCGAGACAGAAGAAATTAGATCATAAACTTCAACTCAAATTCGAGCTTAAATCTTTTTGAAGAAACTCTCACTCAATAATGGTATTTAAATACTGAAGATACATTTGGGAAATAGTCAAATTAGCTCCACAGGAAGAAGTTTCAGGACAACATACTGTGGCTGATTTCTGGCTGGATGCAGAATTGGGCCTCTCTGTGTCTGAATATGTTGGACGGGATGTTAATTTTTTTCCTTCTTCCTCACTGTCGGTCTCTTCTTCATCAAAATTCAAACTACCTGAGATACCTGGCAGAAAAGGAAGAACTGTAAGCAACTGCCAACACTGGCTTATAACACTTTTTTTCATCCCAAACATAGTTATCTTATCCAAAATGTTAACAATTCAGAGTCACACCCATCTTCTTTTCCTTTTCACTGCTGCCACTTAATTCAGCTTTTCAAAAATTATGTCTAATGGGAAAACATATTTGCAAATCTGTATCTGATAAAAGGTTAATATCTAGAATATATAAAGGACTACTATAATTCAACAACAACAAAACAAGCAAAAAATGGGCAAAGGATTTAAATAAGTATTTCTTTTTCTTTTTCTTGAGACAGAGCCTCAAGCTGTCCCCCTGGGTAGAGTGCTGTAGCATCACAGCTCATAGCAACCTCCAACTCCTGGGCTCAAACGAGTCTCCTGCCTCCGCTACCAAGTAGCTGGGACCACAGGCGCCCGTCGCAAGGCCTGGCTATTTTTTGGTTGCAGCCGTCATTGTTGTTTTGGTGGGCCCAGGTTGGATTTGAACCCGCCACCTTGGGTGTACATGGCTGGCTCCTTAGCTGCTTGAGCCACAGGCGCTGAGCCTAAATAAGTATTTCTCTGAAGATGTACACCCCAAGCACATGTGGCCCCAAGCACATGAAGAGATGCTCAACATCACTAGACATTAGGGAAATGCAAATCAAAACCACAATGAGATACCATTTCAGACCTGTTAGATGACTATTGTCTTTTTTTTTTTTTTTTGGCCATGGTGGGTTTGAACCTGCCACCTCTAGCATATGGGGCTGGCGCCCTACTCCTTTGAGCCACAGGCACTGCCCCGACTGTTATCTTTTTTTTAAAATAGAAAACAACAAATATTGGCAAAGATGTAGAGAAGCTAGAACCCTTGTGCGTTGCTGGTAGAAATGTAAAATTATGCAGCTGTTGTGGAAAATGGCATGGTGATTCCTCAAAAAATTAAACATAGGTCAGATGCAGTGGTTCACACCTATAATCCTAGCACTCTGGGAGGCTGAGGCAGGTGGACTGCTTAAGCTCAGGAGTGCAAGACCAGCCTAAGCCAGAGAGAGACCTCATTTCCAAAAATAGCAGGGCATTGTGGAGGGCACCTATAGTCCCAGCTACTCAGGAGACGAGGCCAGAGAATTGCTTGAGCCCAAGAGTTTGAGGTTGCTGTGAGCTATGACACCACAGCACTCTACCAAAGGCAATAAAGTGAAACTCTGTTTCCCCCCCACCAAAAAAAGAATAGTGATATTGAGGGGAAAATGTCAAAAGCAGGCTTGGCGCCTATGGCTCAAGCAGCTAAGGTGCCAGCCACATACACCTGAGCTGG